ATGGTTGGTGAAGGTAGAGGCTATGGGTTAGTGTTAAGGTTTTGGGGGAGGTGGCAGCCATGGGTCAAGGTTAGGGTTTTGAGAGAGGTGGCGGCCATGTGTTAGGATTAGGGTTAGGATTTGTTTAGGAGGATGGAGGAGGCTAGGGTTAGGGTTATGGGTTGGAAGGAAGAAGATGAAGGTAAAATGGAAATATCTGATTTTTCGTAAGTGAACAGTAAAAAAAGGTGTGACATTGCAAACATGTTAAAAAGTAAAGGTGGTTTACATAAAAACGTTTAAAAATGATAAGTATCAATTTGGGTAAAAGTAAAGATAATTTTGGTGAAAAAACCCATACATACGCGCACACACACAAACACACACATACACACACACACGTACACGCGCGCGAGCGCGCGCGCACGCGACCACACACACACACACACACATAAGCGATATGGCGAGATGGTGAGATTGGTTGCTAAATGTGAGATAGTCATTCTACACTATTAGATTCAAATTAATAGTTAGATTTAAACTAATAGAATAATTAATTAAAGATATGTGACCCCACATTTATTTGATTTCTCTACCAAATCTTCTCTAACCTTAACCCTAACCCGAGCCCAAAACCTAATCAGAACCCTAACCCAACCCGAACCCTAACCCTAACCCTAACCTATACCCATTAACCCTAAACCTAACTCTAAACCTAAATTGAACTCGAAATCACTGACCCTAAACCTAACCCGAACCCTAACCCGAACCTGAAACCTGAACCCCGAATCCACTAACCCTAACCCTAACGCGAACCCAAATAATAAAGAGAGGAGGTAGAAGGGAGGATATGGGAAATCTTTGAGAAGATTTAGTAGGAAAATCAAGTAAATGTGGGGGTCACATATCTTTAATTAGTTAATCCTATTATTTTAAATCTAACCATTAATTTGAAGCTAACAGTGTAGAATGTGTGAACACGTGATTGGGGGCCCACGTTATTTATGAACGCGCTTGTTCCTGCCGCTCGTTTCCGCGTGGAGTGATTTGCTTGTGGGGGCCACCTCTTATTCGTGAACGCGTTTTCGTGAATGCGTTAGCCGACACAATTTCTCCATATAAATAGGGTTCTTATTTCTAGGTTTTAAGGGGTGTGCAAGGGGTGAAAAGTGCGGCTGCGGAACTCTGTTCGCGAGCGAGATCAGAGACTTTTGGAGATTTGTACGGTTGCTGCAGATTTTTTTTTTTCGGTGTGAAAAGCAAAGCTGCAAAGGAGAGCCGCCGGTTTCAGAGAGTTTGTGTACCCTTTGAGAGAATATTTGTGTGAGGGATCTGAGAGTTTGTGAGAGGGTTTTATTTGTGAGATTGTAAACCCCAATTGTATCTCTCCCTCTAATAGTAGATCTCCCCTCCTTGCCCCGTGGACGTAGGCTATTTGCCGAACCACGTAAAAGTTGTGTTCTTGCCGTGATTTGTAATAGCTTGTAGGTTCCCTCGACGCGCAGTCCTAGAGCTGACGAGAGGAAGAGCTGATATCTCACTTTGATGAGATATCTGGCTTTTTGGTTCTTGTTTCCTTTGAGAAACGAGAATTTTATTGTGATCTAATCTCTTGTTGTGCACCTTGCACACCGGAGGTGCTGCCGAAATTTCCGCTGCGCACAACAAGTGGTATCAGAGCTCCGGGTTAGACTTGGGAGCTTGTTTGAAGGATTCGCTGAAGGATTCCTATTTGAAGATTAGATCGACAATATGGGAGAAACAAGCACATCGGGATCGTCTCTTTCGAAGGCGATACAGAGTCTGAGCATCAATAACACGAAGATTGATGTTCTGAAGTTCGACGGCAAGATTAATTTCGGATTGTGGAGGTGTCAGGTGATGGACGCCTTGGATGCACAAAATTTGGAGGAGACTCTTGAGTTACAAGAGAAACCTGCCGAGATGGAAGCTAAGGTTTGGAAGAAGATGAATAGTAGGGCGTGTGGAGTTATTCGGTCATGCTTGACGCCGGATCTTATTTATGACGTGATGAACGAGACGTCGGCGAAGAGAATGTGGGAAACACTCAATGAGAAGTATCTGACGAAGAGCATTGAGAATCTTCTCACTATGATTAATGGAAGAACTACTGTTAGTTACAAGGAGGTGACCTCAGCGTTGTGAATTATGAGTTGAGGAAGAGTGTTGATGAGTCCTCCGAGAAGGCATCGGGAGATGCATTAGTAGTTCAAGGTCGTGGTTCAAACCGAAGCAGAAGGTCGCGGTCTAGAGGTGCACATCGTGGGATTCGTAGGAATCAGTGTGCATTTTGTAAAGAGGATGGACATTGGAAAGCCGAATGCCCAAAGTTAGATCGAGTTGAGAAGAATAAGGGGAAAGCTGTACAAGCTTCAGAGGTGAATGTTGTCAAGACTAGTGGTAACGATTCAGATTCGGATTCTTCGGGCTATTCGTTGTCTGCACTACCATCAGTTTGTGTTGCCAACTCTACAGAGTAGATGTTGGATTCGGGTGCTTTATACCACGTTTGCCCTAGGAGGGATTGGTTCTCCAGCTTTCAGAAGTTGGAAAGAGAGGATGTTGTGCTCATGGGTAATAGACATGCATGCTCTATTGGTGGTATTGATACCGTTCGGATTAAGATGAGTGACGGGATGGTGCGGGAGTTGGAAGAAGTGAGGTTCGTTCCGCAGTTGTCGAAGAATATCATTTCACTAGGAGCTTTGGTGGCATCTGGCTATAAAGTGACCTTGGTGGATGCACGTTTAAAGGTCACATTGGGATCCATGATTGTGATGAAGGGCGTCAGAAGGAGCAATTTGTATTATTTGTTCGGAAGCACGGCGATTGATAGGGAGATGACGACTTCATCAGATTTGGCTAGACTGTGGCGTTGTTTGATGCTGGGTTACTTGATTGGTAATGTCATGCATAGGTTATTGAGGAGTGCTTTGACCTGCAGTTTGAAGTCCTGTGAACCCATTGGTATGAGCGAGAAGACCGAGGTGGAGTTTGGCACTTCTATCCATCATTCGAGGGGTCTTCTGAGGGGTGTTCATTCAGGCATTCCAATTGGAGACACTTCATTGGTGTGGAAACTTTGAGGCGACGTGATGAGATGGCAGATTTGGGGAGCTGTTCCTTTCTGGAGGAGGATAGGCATTTGATATCGAGCATTGGCATTGGTGTGCGGGCTACGACATGTTTGAGCTGTCTCATGTATAGGTTACCGACTGCTGCATGTAGAGATTTTGGATCTGGTGGAGCTGCTTCAGATTTTGGGTTGCGTCGGATGTTTGGCTACCCAGCATTTGGTCACATCGTGGATGTGAGATTTGATCCGATAGCACATTTGGGATTCAGAGACGTGTTTGATTATCAGGTATTGGCTTCTGATTTTGTTCTGAGCAGGTATGTCACGTTTGACTCTCGGCAGGTGGAGAGTGGTGATCAGATCATTAGGACATCGCAGCGGGTGGAGAGTGATGTTACTCCACGTTGGGTGGAAACTTCAGATCATACTGTATCATTTGGGATTCCAGCTGCTGTGACACAGATTGGGAATCGTGTTGATTTGGATGCAGATGATAGGTTAATTGATTCGAGTGCAGCTGATAGATGTAGTCTGGATATGGCCATTGGTTCATCTCAGGTGGAGGTGTTTGGATTGTTTCAGTTTGGGGCCATTGGAGGTGCTATCAGCCGTAGACTTGATCGTGATGTTGGAGAAGGGTTACGAACTCTTCTAGTGGATTGAGGCCTTTGGAGGCCGTTTGGGTGAACTACGTGAAGGCTTGATTCCTTAGGCAAGAGGATACGTAGGCAGTCTTTATGATGCAGCCGGTTTGGATTAGTTGGGGTGAGATCAATTTGGTGAGCGACATCGACATTTGGGGTGAGTGTTCGCACTCCCATTTGGGTCTCAGCAAGTGAGGCATTTGGTGTAGTCGGTGTAGGCTCAGTTTGATTTGGTGAGTAGACACTATTAGATTTGGGTTGAGTGTTCGCACTCCCGTTTGGGTCTCAACCTGTTGTGGATGAAGTCCGTTGTCATGAGTCCGTTGCCATGGCATACTGGATACAACATGTGAGACATTTGTTTTGGTCGGTGTCGGCTCAGTTTTGGAAGAAACTTCGCCGAGGTGGAGAATTGTGAACACGTGATTGGGGGCCCACGTTATTTATGAACGCGCTTGTTTCTGCCGCTCGTTTCCGCGTGGAGTGATTTGCTTGTGGGGGCCACCTCTTATTCGTGAACGCGTTTTCGTGAATGCGTTAGCCGACACAATTTCTCCATATAAATAGGGTTCTTATTTCTAGGTTTTAAGGGGTGTGCAAGGGGTGAAAAGTGCGGCTGCGGAACTCTGTTCGCGAGTGAGATCAGAGACTTTTGGAGATTTGTGCGGTTGCTGCAGATTGTTTTTTTTTTCGGTGTGAAAAGCAAAGCTGCAAAGGAGAGCCGCCGGTTTCAGAGAGTTTGTGTACCCTTTGAGAGAATATTTGTGTGAGGGATCTGAGAGTTTGTGAGAGGGTTTTATTTGTGAGATTGTAAACCCCAATTGTATCTCTCCCTCTAATAGTAGATCTCCCCTCCTTGCCCCGTGGACGTAGGCTATTTGCCGAACCACGTAAAAGTTGTGTTCTTGCCGTGATTTGTAATAGCTTGTAGGTTCCCTCGACGCGCAGTCCTAGAGCTGACGAGAGGAAGAGCTGATATCTCACTTTGATGAGATATCTGGCTTTTTGGTTCTTGTTTCCTTTGAGAAACGAGAATTTCATTATGATCTAATCTCTTGTTGTGCACCTTGCGCACCGGAGGTGCTGCCGAAATTTCCGCTGCGCACAACAGAATGTTCATCTCACGTTAAGCAAACCATCTCACTATCTCATCCTATCGCTTTTCTACATACACACATACATACTAACAATATGTAAAATACATGTAGGCGTTTGAAGAGGGGGGAGGTACCAAAATTATGGCTTTCATATTGTCTCTGGTTAAAGAAATGCCAGCCATGCCATCCTTCTCATTTAGCGAGAGCAACACATCCACAAAGTTGCTTTCCTCTTCATCATTTCTTGAACTAACCTTATAATGCTTATGTTCATCTATCACTCTTTCAAGAAACCCGTCAAATTCTCTAGAGCACTTTCTTACTCTTGCATCAAGGCCACTCAATATATCAAGCCAGCCAAGCCAAGGGATGAAATCTCTAACAGGAAATGATCCCGCCAATGTAAGTAACTCCTTCAGCATCTCACCAAAATTATAGCCTTCTCCTTCCTCTCCTAAATATTTCCTTCCCATGGCCACTCTACAAACAATATTATTGGTAAGATTTACAATCATCTCACTCAAATTCACCGAGCCATTGCAAGATGCACGAATTTTCTCGACTATAAGACATACCTCTTCTTCCCTCACCGATCGAAACGACTGGACCCTCTTGTGACTCAGCAGGTGAACACCACTTATCCTTCGAAGTTGCCTCCAATACTCACTGTAGGGTGAAAAGGCAACACTACTACCATAGAAAAGCCTTTTGGCCATGCTTGACGGTGGTCTACTTGCACAAATTTGATCGTGCGTTTTCATTATCTCGCCAGCCATCTCTGCTGATGATACCACAATGGCGGCATTTCCGCCGAAGTGCAGAAGCATTACTGGCCCATACTTCTCTGAGAGAGATTGCAAGGAACGATGAGCTAGCGAGCCTAGTTGGTGGAGGTTGCCTATGATTGGCAATCTCGGTGGAGAAGGAGGCAAATTCAACACATCTTTCTTCTTGAAGAGCTTGAAGAAGAAGAGGAAGAAGGTTAACACGACGGCGATTGTTGCCAGAAAGGAAGGCCATTGCTGCGATGCAAAAACTACAGTCTTCATCTCGCAGCAATTAGTATAACGTCTGTGCGCCGCTCTAATTAGTGTCACTAAGTTAGGCACTCATGGGGCCATCTATATTAAGATAAGAAGAAGAGAATGTTATCTCATCCTCAAAGTTCTAGTGTAGATTATTTATGATTGGTCCGAGGAGATATTTTCTCGGATTTTCTCTGATGCAAAGGATGTTGAATAGGACAACAACGGGAATTGGAGATAGACGATTACCCAAAACTCTACACTTCATCTAAGTACACTGTCTGTAAACAATTTCAACCTAGTGCAAGTCTCTCTCCATTCTTTTACTGATTAATGCTTCGAGACACTTCTCACCTTTATTTATAGCCAATTTGAGGAATTTTTTTGATTTATTTATTTATTTATTTATTTTTAGGAACCTAGTACCATGCATAAAGAGGTCGAGCGTGTTCTTTATTATGAAATATTCCAGAGTCTGAATATGACCTATTATTTCTAGAGATTGATAAATATAGATCTAAATCAATATTGAAGTTTTTGTTGACTTTCACATGACTCCTCTCAACAGTAATTTCTGTTTGTAGAAATGTTTCTAATATTGATATCTCTAGAAATTACAAGCAGCAACGACAGACACATTTATGAGATATATCTAGAAATAAAAAATGTACAGATTTATTCCAGAAATGGAAATTATATTCTCTAGAAACTTGTATGTATGATGAAAAAAAGAAATTTAGAAAAATCCATAGGTGCGGATAATTTGGTTTTGTATGTGATAAGAATAGAGCTTTAGGGAAGGAAAAAAAACAATATTATTCAAGAAAATATTAGGGTAAATGGCATTTAAATACCTTGTAGTATCAGTCTCTTAGCACTTCTATAGCCTCAGTTGTATTTCATAGCATTTATATACCTTGAATTGGTCAAAATTGACATGTTAATACCCTATGTTTTGCAAACGTAAAAATTTTCATTCAAAAGTTTCCATATAAGAAGTTTGTTCGATGTATTGTTAAATTTTTCTAAACTCTATTTTTGAAATACAATTATGATACATTTAAATTAGAATTCGAGTAGGTTTAATAGTAATTTAATCAATATAAACGATTAAAACGCTCTAAAATTAGCATATGAATATTATATAAAAACTTTCAAATGAAAACTTTTACGTTTGTAAAATATAGGGTATTAACTTGCAAATTTTGACCAACTAAGAGTATATAAATGCTACGAAATACAACTGAGGGTATATAAATGCCAATGGAGTGAAACTATAAGGTATTTAAGTGCTATTTAGCCACAATATTATTCACCTCATTAAAGTGTATGTATACAATGACAAGGAGAAAAGTTCTAGAATCCTAAGTAATGTGTGACTAAAATAAAGGAAAAGAAGATAGCCTAACTATATTATTTAACACACCCGGATAAACTCACGGTAGGCAGAGAACTGAGAGTTTGGATGAGATGAGTCAAATTTACATAGATGGTTAGTATGGATCAGCAAAAGTGGTTGAATTGGAGCACATCGGTTGGTAGAACTGCAGGCTGCAATATCGTGGTGCTATCCAATGAGGGCTTGGACTGAGGAGGTGAGGTCGTGGTGTAGTCTGGTCCGGCGGTGTCACAAGGGTGCTACAGTTGGAAAGGTTCCGACAGTGTCGCTACCATGGGCGCTACAGATGGAGAGGGTTGGTCGGTGTCGTTGCTGTGGGCGCTGCAGATAGAGAGGGTCCGACAGTGTCGCTACCGTGGGCGCTGCAATTGAGGAATTAAGTCAAACAGTTAATGTGCACGTGAAGTTGTGGGTGGTGAGCGCTGCACGGAAGCTGAGGTGGGTGCACTGGTT